CTGGTTTATGTTAATGTTCTTAGTTTTTTGTTTATTTTTATTGACTTTAGAGAGGATCAAGCCTGTAACCTAGGCATGTGCCCTTGACTGGAATTTAACCCGGGACCCTTCAGTCCACAGACCAACGCTCTATCAACTGAGCCAAACTGGATATGGCTTTATGTTTATTTTTGTATCACTTGCTAGTATGATTAACTTCCATTATAGCTTTCTATTGATTCCTGGCAGTCACATTAAAGGAGATAGTTTTAATTTTTCCTTTCTAATTCTTTTTTTTTTTTAATACTTTACTGATTTTTCACAGAGAGGTAGGGAGAGTTAGAAACATCGATCAACTGCCTCCTGCACACTCCCTATTGGGGATGTGCCCGCAACCAAGGTACATGCCCTTGACTGGAATTGAACCTGGGACCCCTCAGTCTGCAGACCGACTACCACTGAGCCAAACCTGTTTCAGCTCCTTTCTAATTCTTATGTCTGCAATTGCTTTTTATTGTCTCATGGCCACCATTGCCAATAGTGTTAAATTATAGGAAATTAGTATATGTATTTTCTTGACCCATTCTTTTATTTTATTTTTGGCCGAAACCGGTTTGGCTCAGTGGATAGAGCATCGGCCTGCGGACTCAGGGGCATGTACCTTGGTTGCTGGCACATCCCCGGTGGGGGGTATGCAGGAAGTGGCTGATTGATGTTTCTATGTCATCAATGTTTCTGACTTTCTATCCCTCTCCCTTCCTCTCTGTAAAAAATCAATAAAATATTTTTTAAAAATTATTTTTGATTTCAGAAAGGGAGATGGAGAGATGCAAGCATCAATGATGAGAATCACTGGCTGTCTCCTGCAGGTCCCACACTAGGGATCGAGCTTGCACCTCGGGCATATGCCTCACTGGGCATGGAACCCTGGCCTCCTGGTCCATCGGTCAATGCTCAACCACTGAGCCACATTGGCCTGGCCCTTGCTCCATTCTTTGGTGGCAAAACCTCTAGTATTTGTCCGTTAAGTAAAGGCTGGCTCTCGGGCTGAAGTGTTAAACACCTTTCACAGATGAAGAAACTGAGGTGAAACAAGTCCCAAAGGTAGATTGAGATGGAAGCAAGAGCTCAACCTGTGTCCTGATATCAACCTTGCCTCCTGCCCCTACAGGAGATTGTAAACTTCAACTGCCGGAAGCTGGTGGCCTCGATGCCACTGTTTGCCAATGCTGACCCCAACTTTGTCACGGCCATGCTGACCAAACTCAAGTTCGAGGTCTTCCAGCCGGGTGACTACATCATCCGTGAAGGCACCATTGGCAAGAAGATGTACTTCATACAGCATGGCGTGGTCAGTGTGCTCACCAAGGGCAACAAGGAGATGAAGCTGTCCGATGGCTCCTATTTCGGGGGTTAGTGTCTGGGGACCAGGGAACGAATACACAGCCGGACCCTTCCTGGGGTGGAGGGTTATGTGGGGAGGCCCGGAGTGCTGGCAGGAAGGACTCTGACCAGAAGGGCCACGCTAGCAGAGGGCGGGCTAGACTGTGCTCAGGGCAGCGGGGAGCACCCCAGGGAGGAATGGGTGCAGCTGGGTGTTGCCCAGCCCCTGAGGTGCCTCCCTTGACCACACAGAGATCTGCCTGCTAACGCGTGGCCGGCGCACAGCAAGCGTGCGGGCTGACACCTACTGCCGCCTCTACTCCCTGAGTGTGGACAACTTCAACGAGGTGCTGGAGGAGTACCCCATGATGCGGCGGGCTTTCGAGACGGTTGCCATTGACCGCCTGGACCGTATTGGTGAGTGGACCTGGTTATGGTCATAGAAGGAATAGTGCCGAGATGGGAGATGGCGTGGCCTAGATGACCCGCAGGAAATTGGTTCTGACCGGCTTTCTCCCCTGGCCAAGCACAGCCCTGGTTTCCCAAGGAAGGAAAGTGTGGGGTTTCCAGTTGTGCAGAACTCTGAAGACTTGGCAAACACTTGCTGAGCACCTATGTGTGCCAGGAGGTAGAGCTGGTGGGCCGTGAAGATGTCTCTGGCGCTGCCCTCTGGAAGCTTACGTCATAGAGGGCATGTGGGAGCGGTGAGGCTTCCTGCAGATGCTATTGGAAACCAGCATTAGCAGGTGCTGCTAGGATGACATGGGTGCGGTATGTGCAAGGCCCTGAGGTGAGAAAGAGGCCTGGAGTCCAGAGAGCCAGGGAAGCTAGGAGGAGGGAGGCTGGGGAGGTAGGCGAGAACCCAGGCACACAGGGCCTAGTGGGCAGGGCTGGGGGAAGACATTTGGACTATAAATCAGGATTAACAGGGAGCCACAGACAATTCTAGGCAGGGGAGGACCTGACCAAATTTATATTCTACAAGGGTATGCAGGTGGGTGGTATGTGGTAGCTTGGGTGTAAGGTGAAGTAGAGGGAATCTCGGAAACAGTGGGGATGTGGGGCCCTCAGGACTGGCTGGCAACTAGAGGCAGGGAGATAGTGGCCCTCGCTGCTACCCGTTTCCCCGAAAATAAGACCTAGAACATGGAAAGATAAGATATCCCCTGAAAATAAGATCTAGCGCAACTTTGGGAGAAAAAAATAAGACATTGTCTTATTTTCGGGGAAACAGGGTATTTGTGGGAATAAAGACAAAGGCTGAAAAAGCAGGACTGGATGGGGCCGACGGGGTTAGAGGGAAGACTTTTTTGTATACAGGAGGTGCTCGATACATGTTTATATACAAAAGACACTCAACAATTTGCTCTAAACAGTAGGTGTTTAACATACTTATGAGTGAGAGGTGCTTGGACTTACTTGCTAAATACAACAGGCACTCAACACATGCCTATTATGTTATACACTTGGCACTCTGGTAGTGAGTAGGCAGGTATTCTGGGTATGTTGCTGTATACTATAGGTGCTCAATACATGATTGTTACATACAAGAAAAGCTCCATGTATGCTGGCAGTCTACATAGGTGTCTCATACCTGCTTTATGTATGCAGCAGGTGCTTTTCGCTTGCTACACACAATAGGTGCTTGGTACCTGTTTGTGTATAGGTCGTGCATACCTGCTATATACAGAGGTTCTCAATTTTTGCTTCCCACACACAGCAGACACTTGTACCATCCCTTTATATACAGGAGCCTTTCAATACAATAGAGAGTAGGTGCCAATACCCACTTGCTATATGCAGGAGGCACTCAATACACTTGATTCTTATCACTGTATGCAGGAGGTGCTCAGTAGTGCCTGTGGTATGCTTTGCATGCAGGCTATAGAGTAGGAGTCCAATACATGATGCTTGGTGTATACAGGAGGCAATCGCTATACATCTGTACATGCACAGACTGTAGAGAGCAGGTGAGAATACCTGCTGGCTGCGTGCAGGAGGCCGCGGTACACACAGGTGTGTGTGTTCTGGCTCGAGAGAGTAGGTGCCTGACCTGCTTGCTTTATGCAGGTGTTCTGTGCCAATACCTGGTTGATGTATGCAGGAGGTGTTTAGTATATGCAGCCGTGTGCCTACTGGATACACCCGCTCCCTGTATCCAGGAGGCGCTCCCCTGTGCACTGACAACTCCCCTGTCCCCAGGCAAGAAGAACTCGATCCTGCTGCACAAGGTCCAACACGACCTCAACTCGGGCGTGTTCAACAACCAGGAGAACGCCATCATCCAGGAGATCGTCAAGTACGACCGGGAGATGGTGCAGCAGGCCGAGCTGGGCCAGCGCGTCGGGCTCTTCCCGCCGCCACCGCCGCCGCAGGTCACCTCGGCCATCGCCACGCTGCAGCAGGCCGTGGCCATGAGCTTCTGCCCACAGGTGGCACGCCCACTCGTGGGGCCCCTGGCACTCAGCTCGCCCCGCCTCGTGCGGCGCCTGCCCCAGGGGCCTGTGCCTGCTGCCACTGCCTCACCAGGGCCCCCACCTGCTGCTAGTCCCCCGGGCGCACCTGCCAGTCCCCGGGCACCTCGGACTTCGCCCTACGGCGGCGCACCCTGCTCCCCAGCCGCCCCCCGAGCGGGGCCCGCACTTCCAGCGCGCCGCCTGAGCCGCACCTCACGCCCGCTGTCTGCCTCACAGCCCTCGCTGCCCCACGGCGCCGCGGGCCCCGGCCCCGCAGCTCCCGCGCGCCCGGCCAGCAGCTCCACGCCGCGCCTGGGGCCCGTGCCCACCACGCGGGCGGCCGGGCCCAGCCCGGACCGCAGGGACTCGGCCTTGCCCAGCGCCACAGGCGGCCTCGCCCCGCTGGACTCGGCGCGCTCGCGCCTCTCGTCCAACTTGTGACCCTCGCCGCACCGCCCCACGGGCCCGGGCGGGCCGGGGGCGGGCCTTCATCAGACCAAAGCCATGCCATTGCGCTGCCCCGGCCGCCCACCCCAGAAGCCATAGAGGAGACGTAGGTAGTTGTAGTCGGACGGACGGGCCCTGCCGTCCCCCCTCATCACCCTGCGCCCACCCATATCGCCCCCGCATCCCGGTGGTGGCCTCGCAGGCATGGGAGGGGGCTCCCTTCACCTCGGTGCCTCAGTTTCCCCAACTGTGAAACAGGGAGGGAGCCACCCCGTGCCGAAAGGAGATAGCTGTGGACTTCCGCCCATCCCTACCCTCGTAGCTGGCCCGCTGTCCGATGAGGATTCTGTTTAAGTGCAATACTCGGCCTGCTGGCTTCCTGCTGCCCACACCGCACTCACGCAATAACCGGCCCGGCCCCTGTCCATGCGCACCCCGTGGTGACTTCCTGGAGCGGGCACTAGCAGCATCCTCCAGCACCCAGCGCCAGGGGTCGGCAGTCCTGGCTACACCTGGGTGTGGGGGCAAGGCTGGGGACTCCCCACCTTTGTGATGAATGTACTGACTAGCCGAGGCAGCAATGCTCCCACCACACCCCCACGCCCCACTAACCTCCACACCCCATTCCGCGCAATAAACGACAGCATTGGCGCCCAGCCTGCCCGCATCTGCTTGCCGGGAGCCCAGACAGCAGGTAGCACACACCCTCTCCCTGCAGAAGGCAGCGCTCCCCTGGGTAGCAACAGAGCTTTATTTACACTATGGTACAGAGGGCCCAGGGCAGCCTGGCGGGCCTGCATCAGCTGAAGAAGTATGTCGAGTGCTTTACCTGGTCCAGGTCGAAGGTCCCTGCAGAACAGAGCAGGCAGACCATGAACTCTGGTCCTGGGATGGACTAGAAAGGCACAGCCAGCGATTGGAACACCCCTCCACTGCCCATGACCCTACCTGTCTTGGGCACTGACAGTAGCATTTCCTGCAACTTGACGACCTGGGCGTTGGTGGACCTGAGGCAGAGAGCAGAGGGGGAGTGAGGTCCCAGAAGGATGGGGGGGGGGGGAGATACAGAGGGCGGGGGCTCACCTGGGGCCAGAGCAGTACCGCTCCACCAGAAACGTGGACAGGTCGTGCAGGATGGGCTGGCTGTGCAGGCGGATGAACTGCTCTCGGCACACCTTGTGGGGAGAGGGGGCTGCTTCAGGAGCTGGGCATAGGGGCTGAGGGATGGCGTCACCACCGGGCCCCAGCACCTGAAGGGGGAGGCTTTGGGTTCAAGGCCCCACATGGGACCAGAGTATCCATTCTTGGGAAGGTGGGACATGGCGGGCACCTGATTCATGATGGCGACGTCAGCTGCGTGGGTCCAGAAACAGTCGTGCACGGAGACGAAGGTCAGGCCCTTCCTGCAGCAGAGGGGGGTGTTCATGAGGGCCAGCCCTCTAGGTCCACTCAGGGCCCAGCTCCCGAACACTGGTCTGGGGGGCTCGGTCCAGGGATGTGCCACCACCCTCTTCTCTCACGTCCCGCCTCCCCCCCATTCCTACAACTGTCCCCTCAGCATACAGATGAAAAGTTCTCATCTCAGAATGAAACTGCTCTACATCCTCTTCACCCTGCTCCCAACCGCGGCCTGGTTGATTCTCAGCTCCCTGTAGGGATCAATGAATACTGTCCCCAACCATACCACCCCCACAGGGCTTCACCCCAGGGGCTCCCATGACACGCACAGGGAAAAACGATGTTAGAGAGGGGGGAGAGGGGGGGAGGGGAGGGAGAGAAGGAAATATCAATCAGTTGCTTCACACATGCATACCTACGGGGGGATCGAACCTGCAAACCAGGTATGTGCATGGGATAATGCTACAACCGAGCCATAGGGCCAAGGCTTTAAAGGCCATTTCTAAGAACTGTCCACACACCTGCCCCACCACCACAGGCTCACTGTCTGAGAGGCTGAGGGCAGAAAACCAGGAGATCCGCCAGCTGCCACAGGCCCACGCATCTGACATGACAACGCAAGCCTCTAGAACTGGCCTTGCCGTGTGCGCCTGCACTCACCTGGTGGATGGGGTCACAGGGACCCTCCAGGGCCAGCTTTACACTCAGAGGAACTACCCCTTCCCTCCATGGCCCCACACTCCCCCGTCACTTAAGACCTCACTGCCCAGGGCCATCGCACCTGCTGGCACATGATCTGGCCCAAAAGACACACGGCTGGGTTCCCCGCCTGCTGCAGTCTCTGCCCCAACTCCCACCTGCAGGAACAGCTGCACTACCTGCCTCCCGCACTCTGAGGGTCTCCCCTGTCCCCAGCACCAGGCCACCTGCAGGAGGTTGATGAATGTTGCTGTGCAGAGGCAGGACCTACCTGTAACAGTGCAGGGCTGTGAGCATCATGTGCGACGAGTCCAGGGAGTGGATAAAGTTGGGTGGGAAGCCATTCTTCTGCTTCAGTGTGTTGGGCTTCCTGTGTGTGGGTTGGGCTATGCTCAGGTAGAGGACCCAGTACCTCTACCCTGGTCAGCACCCCCTCGGTCCTCGCCCAGCTGTCTCATTCCAGCTGCCCCCTCCTGCGCACTCACTGGCTGGTGTCCCCACTGCTGCAGAAGGTGAGGCTCTGGATCCCTCCGCCGATCTGTAGGATTGGGATGGAAGGAGAATGGGGCATGCGGCCTGCCCTGGCAACGGGGGTGCAGGTGGGGGTGGAGGCCATACATACCGACACTTTGGAGTCGTGATGGTAGGGCTGAATGATGGGGATGCCCAGGGGGGTGATCCACTCCACAGCCAAGCCGGATCGAGCGATGAGCCGGGCACTCTCGGTCAGCCAGCGCTGAGGGATGGAACAGGCTCAGTGTGGGCCCAATCTGGGAAGTCACACTGGGGGGAGGAGGAGGACATACCTGGATGGCCCGAGTGCTTGAGAACATTTCCTGAAGACTGTTGAACACCTGGCGCACGAGGTAGTGAGAGGCCTGCCACACGAACTCCTGGGACGGGCAGGCGCAGAAGTGGTAGGGCAAACTTGGAGGGAAGGGGCAGCCTCTGTGCCCCCCACAGCCCAGGCCACATCTCACAAGGCTGTCCCGGATACCTGAAGTCCACACCCCATTTTTCAGGTGTAGAAACCAAGGCCTGAGGCCCAAGAAGATAGCTTGCTCCTCTGGACCCCTCCCTCTGTACCCCCCTCGCCCCACAGCGGGGGGAGACAAGCCCCGCCCTCAGAGCTGCCTGCTCCCGGCAGGGGCAGGGGCAGCTGCAGCCGGACTGGGGTAAACCTGCTCACCTGGGGGAAGTCGCTGAGCTCGCGGAGGCGCTTCTCAATCTGCAGGCGGCCCCCGTAGCGGGTGACGCCGTACACCACGGTCATCACCGTCTGCTTGACCACCTTGCGGCTGATGAAGCCCTCCAGCACCTTGGCCACCTGCACGCCCCGCTCGGCGTCCTGCCTGCGGAACACCTCCACCTGCCCGTGCCGGCCGTCAGCGGCGGCCCGGACCCTCCGCCTGCCGCCCCGTCGGCTCACCTCCCCTGCCAGCGGCCCCCCATGAGGTCCCTTCTCTGGTGGCCTGGCAGTTCCCCCTCCGGACACCTCCCTAGGGGCCCAGTCACGTCACACACAGGAGAGGCCATGGGGTGGGAACACGCGGGCAGTCACAGGACAGAGACCCCGGGGAGGCTTTGGGGAAGAGAACGCGTCGGGGCCAGTGCCCACCTGTGCGGCTACGCTGCTGTACACATCCTGTGGCACGTCTGAGGGCATCAGGTTGACAGAGGCAGCCCCCACGCTGTCCCGGCCCAGGGCGGCATAGTGTTGCAGGCCATTACAGGAGCCATCCTGGCCGAGGAGGAGATGGTGAGGGGTCTGGGCAGGGCTGGCAGGAGCAGCGTTGGCAATGAACCCAGCACTCTGCTCATAGTGCCAGCTTGCTGGATCGCAATGCTTAGGGGCAGGTGTTGTTAACTCACCACAAAGAGGAAACTGAGGCACATGAAACAGGGAATGTGCTGCATGAGGCTACAGCACAAGCCCCGGGGGACCCATGGGGCTGGCCCCCACACAGACACCAGCTAGCTGCCTACTGTCCTGCAGAACCTCAGACTCGAGACAACTGGATAGTCCCCCCTCCACACAGGCTCCCACCACCTCACCTGGTGAACGGGGAAATGGGAGACGTAAGCAGCCGGGCTGGGGGCACGCACGGCCCGAGCGATCTCCATGCAGCAGGCCAGGGCTTGCCAGGGCTCGTCTGCCTCCGCCCACCACCTCCGGCCCTGCAGGGGGGTGGGGTGCTGGGTGAGGCTGGGTGCGGCTGGGTGCGGCTGGGTGTGGCTGGGTGCGGCTGGGTGCTCAGTGGGCTGGGGCTTCCTGAGCACGAATGGGAGCTGGGCTGGCCCAGGTGATGCGAGGACACACGGAGGCTGAGGCAGAGCCTCTGGGACAGCAAGGTGAGGACAGGAGTGATGGACCCGGAGGAAGACGGGGCCCAGCCCTGAGGGAGCAGCCAGGAGAGGGGGATGGAAAGAGGGCTACACAGAGTGGGAGCTGGCAGATGGACTGAGGCGAAGGAAAAGGCCAGGAGAAGTTTGTCCTCAGGGGAAGACTCGGGAGGCTTGGGTTATTGATTCTGGCCTAGAGGGGATGCCTAAAGGGTGTCCCATGCATGTGCTGGTGGCTGGAGCCAGAGTGAGGACAGGCCAAGGTACAGACAGAGGGAGAAGGCCGCCCCTACCGTCATGGGCTGGTCGGCTGAGTCCAGGATGTCGTTCATTATCTCATCAGCAAAGGCCAAGCGTGCCTGCAGTGACTCACGCTTCTTGAGTCCGGTGAGGTTGACCAAGTGAATCTTGAGCCAGTTAAGGCCATGGGGGCCAAGAGGTCGGCCCTCGGCAAACTCCAGCAGGGCCCGTGCCAGGTCACTGCCCAGGTGGTTGAAGTGGGGTGGGCAGGGGTAGGTGCGTCCTCGGAAGTCCATGTTGTGCGGCAGCCAGAAGACATGGTGCCGCAGGTGATGTGCCAGCGAGAGGCGGTAGAGGGCATCGGTCCGCAGGCTATGCATCTCCCGCGCCACCTTCAGGCAGCGGGCCAGCTCCCGCCGCAGTTCCGTCTTGAGCTCCGGAGAGGCATTGGCTGGCAGGCGTTGCTTGGATGGGCGGGGTGCCTCAGAGGCAGGGGATGGCACGCCCAGGCGGGGGCAGCCCTTGGCATTGAAGATGGTTAGCACCAGGTCCAGCACTCGCCCATTGACACGCCAGGCACAGTTGCCCAACTGGGTGAGGGCATCTAGGGCACCGTGCAGCTCAGCGGGTGGGCAGCCCTCCAGCAGGCGCTGGTGCTGTATGGTGCCCTCCAAAGAGCGCATCAGCTTGGTGGGGCTCAGCAGGAAGGCACCTGAGTGTGGCGAAGTCCAGGGCAGGGGCGGGCACAGCATGGGCACTTCGGCTGCCTCAAAGGTCATGGTGCGCTCGGCCGCAGTTTCCAGCAGCTGCACGAAGGCTGGATGTGGCTTCAGGATCCCAATCTGGGGGGGTCAGAAAAGGCAGACACCGATCAAGGAGTCAACTGCCCCAAAGGCAAGCAGCAGGCAGAGGGCCCCAAGGCCCCATCAATGCCTTATCCTGAGATCAGGCCATGACAGCAGATTCCCACCATGGCCCGGAGTTCCCACACCACCCTGAGCCCCTAGCCTCATCTCAGACCCCCACACTCTAAGTGCCTTCTGCTGCTGGAATCAGGGGAGGGCTCTTTAGGCCCAGAAGCCAGTTTCACATCCTTCTACCTGGCGAAAGCTCTGGAAGGAGTACACATGGTAGAGGACGGGGATGAGCTTCTGGGTGTCCTGTGGCTGGGCCAGGTTGCTGGGCATCTTCACTGTCTGCACGAGCACCTCCGCCAGCTGTTTCCCCAGCTGCACCACCAGAGCCAAGGGCCAGGGCTGGTCTTGGGAGGCCTCAGACGTCCCTAGTGCCTCCCAATGCTCCCGTGGCAGACGGGACATCACCACCTGTGGGTAGCATTATGGATCAGGGGGCTGGGCATAGAGCTCACTCCCAGCCACCCCACAGGTGCAAAGTTACAGGAGGAAACAAAGTAGGGGCAGCCAAAAAATGGCAGGGGCTGGGGGCATATCCAACTGCCCCAGGGTGGGAGGGCAGGGAGTAGGGGGGACTCAGTTTCCCCACCTGGAAACCAACCTAGGCTTCCTACCCCTGAGGAACCCCAAAATCCCAGGCCCAGGAGCGGCTCCTCATTCTGCTCCCCTCCAGACCTTACCTGTGTGTCTGATGCCAGCAGGTGTAGGTACTTGAAATAGCGCTCCTGCAGCGCCTGCACCTCATCACTGAGCTGCTTCCTTTGCACCACGTGTCGGTTGAAGATGCGCATGCCCAGCTCTTGTGCCAGGGAGAGAAGCGACTCTCCCTGCTGGGGCAGCACCTGCAAGGCCTGGGGGATGGTGCTGTAAGCCTCTTGCCCCACAGGTGCCCACACTCTACCCACCCCTCCATTTCCTGTTCCGTCTCCACACTACCCACCTGCAGCATCAGCTGCGTAAGCTCCCCCTCGCTGAGCAGGCACAGGTACGGGAAGAGTGAGGGGCGGCCCTTGCGGGCAGCTTGGGCCTCTCTGTCCTTTGTCTGTTGCAGCGCCAGGCACAGCTCTTCCTCCCAACGGGTGCGTAGCTCCTGCAGGGTCTTTCGCTGTGGGGCAGGGTACAAACGAGGGTCACCAAAGTGCCCGCTGAGCCCAGTGCTCCCAGGAGTCCACCAGGAGGTGGTGCCAAGGTGAACCAAGTAGCTGCTCAGCACTCTGCTCTAGCAGAGAGGGCACACAGTGACCTCAGCTCAGGGAAAGGGAGGACAGGACAGCTGCGGGGTGGGAAGAGGGGATGCGGCACAGCGTCCAGGGGATGCCTGGTTTAGCCGAGGAGGAACCTGAGCACAGCTGGTCCCTTACCGCTTGCAGGACCTCCTTGGTCAGCGACGGGGCCGTCTCCACGGACTCCACAGTGACAACGGTGGCCATCTCCACACTGAGCTGCTGCTGAAACAGGTCCTTCAGGGTCTCCAAGGGCAGGTGCTGCTTTGGATAGGTCGCAGGCTTGTCCTGCCAGTGGGGACAGGCAGGTGGTGAGGCCCCAGGTGCCTCCTCTGCAGGCTGCATCTCTCGTAGGAAAAACTCGTCCACAGCCAAGGCAGAGAAAGCAGCTGCCGCCCTGTGCTGCCCAGAACCGCCCTGCCCCTTGCAGATAACATCCGTTTCTCCTGAAAATCATCCATCCTGCACATCCCAGGGTGCAGAACAGCGTGAAAAATAACTACACTGGTTTAAAAACAAAAGGCTCTGTATCTGTCTAGCCTCACTGGGCTAGATGCTCACAGCCCAGGAAGGCAATTCAAATCCCCAGATATCGCTTTTTGCTTTTTAAACTTGAAACTGAATGTGTGACCCGCTTCAAAATAGATAAATTAAAAATAGCAAAAGTCAACATGCTGATAATCAAAAACACAAAACTTGCCCAGCTGGCATGGCTCGGTGGTTGAGCTTTAACCTAGGAATCTGGAGGTCATGGTTAGATTCCGGTCAGGGCACATGCCTGGGATGCAGGCTCAATTCCCAGTAAGGGGCGTGCAGGAGGCAGTCAATCAATATTTCTCTCTCATCATTGACATTTCCATCTTCCTCTCCCTCTCCCTTCCTCTCTGTAAAAGATTTTTTGAAAACACCACAAACAGCCCTAATCAGTTTGGCTCAGTGGATAGAGAGTCGGCCTGCAAACTGAAGGGTCCCAGGTTCGACTCCAGTCAAGGACATGTACCTTGGTTGTGGGCACATCCCCAGTAGGGGGTATGCAAGAGCCAACTGATGTTTCTTCTCTCATCGATGTTTCTAACTCTATCCCTCTCCCTTCCTCTCTGTAAAAGAGCAATAAAATATATTTTAAAAAACAACAACCCACAAACACTTGTATAAGCACACCCATAGCAGTGTGATTCACAACAGCCAAATAGTGGACACAATCTAAGTGTCCATCAGCTAATGAATGGATAAACACAATGTGTCTATCCACACACTACAATACAGGGTGAGACAAAAGTAGGTTTATAGTTGTGAATACAGATTTTATTCTTTTTCTTTTTTTTAAATATATATTTTATTGATTTTTTACAGAGAGGAAGGAAGAGAGATGAAGAGTAAGAAACATCAATGAGAGAGAAACATCGGTCAGCTGCCTCCTGCACACCTCTCACTGGGGATGTGCCCACAACCAAGGTACACGCCCTTCACCGGAATCGAACCTGGGACTCCTCAATCTGCAGGCAATGCTCTATCCACTGAACCAAACCAGTTAGGGCTAGATTTGATTCTTGTATTCTTATTTGCTATATTGTTCTCCATATAAACCTACTTTTGCCCCACCCTGTATGACTCAGCCATGAAAAGGAGTGAGACTCTGACACTCGCTACAACATGGATGAGCCTGGAAAACATGATGCTCAGTGAGAGAAACCAGACACAAAAGGCCTCACAGTGTGTGATTCCATTTATGTGAAATGCCCAGAACAGGCACATCCACAGAGACAGTGAGCGGGTTAATGGTTGCCAGGAGGTTGGGATTTCTTTTGGGATGATCCAATGTTCTGGAATTAGAAACAAACCTATTAAAACATACTATATTAGCCCAGCCGGGAGTAGCTCAGTGGTTGAACGTCGGCCCAGGAACAATGAGGTCACCGGTTCGATTCCTAGTCAGAGCATATGCTCAGGTTGTGGGCTCGATCCCCAGTGGGGGGCATGCAGGAGGCAGCCAATCAGTGATTCTCATCACTGATGTTTCTATTTCCCTCTCCCTCTCCGAAATCAATAAAAATATCTATTAAAAAAAAATACTCGCCGAAACCGGTTTGGCTCAGTGGATAGAGAGTCGGTCTATGGACTGAAAGGTCCCAGGTTCGATTCCGGTCAAGGGCATGTACATTGGTTGCGGGCACATCCCTGGTAGGGGGTGTGCAGGAGGCAGCTGGTTGATGTTTCTCTCTAATCGATGTTTCTAGCTCTCTATCCCTCTCCCTCCTCTCTGTAAAAAATTAATAAAATATATTTTAAAAAAAACAAAAACTGAATTATACTTTAAAAGGTCAGTTGTATGGTTGGTGAATTACATCCCAATAAAAACAAGTAAGAACCCAAGGCATCCAGGTGGTTACCCACCCTTAGTGCTGTCCTCTGTCCTGGGCAGCGGTGCTGAGGTCTTGCCCCACCAGCTGCCCCTGCTGCTTCAGACTGACAATTACACCCTGCTCTGCTAGCACCCTGTGCTCAGCCTACACTGAGTCTCCAGCAGGACAGTGACTGCTGTGGTGCCCGAAGTGGCTTTTCCTCCTTCTGGCGCCTCCCAGCTTCAACCCTGGGTGATGGCCCTGCTGGGGGCCAGGAACTTGCCAACTCTGAGTTGGTTCAAACTCCGAGGAGCAGGGAGGAAGTCCCAAATATGCAGGCAGCTCAGTGAGGAGAAATAAAGGGAGGGCTGAGGCTCCTGATGCCCCAGAGGGACAGGATGACCGACACTCAGCCCACACGTGATAGGCCCCCACCTGCAGGCTGACGCTCACCGTGCTGTAGATCTCCTTGAGCAGTGGGGAGGAGTTGACCTTGGACGAGGACAGGGGCGGCTGTGGAGGTAGGAAGGTGGGCTCCGCCTTGCGCACAGCCCTCAGGAGCACAGCCTTGTCCTCCTTGCACAGGGGCAAGTTCGTGAAGAGCTCCTGCAGCTGCAGTCCGTCCTGTGCCATCTGCTTCAAAAACCTGTGGGGGATACATGGTGAGCCCCAACGCACAGAGGCACCCCCAACCAACCTGGAGGTCTCAGCACCAGGAATCTGGGCCCCCTGCGCAGGCTATGCCACCCCCCCAGGTCCAACAAGTCACTGTGTTCCTGGCAGGACCACCAGGACACCCACCCACCTTTGAATGGCGCTGGCTTCCTGGTTCAGCCGTCCCATGCACTGCAGGGCGGCCGCATAGGACAGCAGGTCTGGGGCGAGGCCGGCATCTTTCATCATGAAGAACACATAAAGCAGCTCTCTGAAGGAGCCCTGGGGAGACCAAGCCAGGTGAGGGTCTGGGATGGCCCAGCTTGCTGGCCCCAGACCCCTCTCTGCAGTACAGAATCGAGCTGAAAAGGGCCACTAGTTGGGAGTGGCGAACTCAGCTGATGGCCCATCTAAGGTTTCTGTGTGCAGCAGAAGTGCTAACACAACGGTAAAATCCTGGCTGGGTCACAAAGGAAGCTTAGGTGCCAGGAAGGAGTGTTAATACTGTTTGGTTTTGTGGTTTTGAACATGCACAATTTCAGGGCAGCTAAAAAGGGACCCCTTTCCAGGTTACTGAACTGCAAGAAGTTCCTGAAGTTCTACTGCCTCCTCAGAGCACCCACTTTCAGGTTTGTTGGTTTCCTGCTGTTTCTTTTCTCTATCATGGCCTTTGTATTTCTCCTTGACCACCTGTTTTGGGTTTCATTTGCTTCTTTTCCCTAGTTTTCCAACCTGGAAGTTGTGCTACCAGTTGGAGACAGCTGTTGTCTTCCTTCCGAGCATGGCTCCACTGCACCCGTACAGTCACTTAGTTAAATTTCAATTAAATGTTCAGTTATTCAAATGCTTAGTAACTACACAGACTGATGTAGGAAAAATAAACATTTCCACAGGGAGTCTGAGATGAGGCAATGTGGAATTTGCCCCCTCCCATTCCAAACTCAAATATAGCAGTAAGTAGACAAGTGATTTCTGTGAGACAACTGAGGACTATGAATGGCTTCTGACAACAAACAAGAGAAAGAGATGAACAGAGAAGGCTGAGGGGGAGGAGCCCTCTGGGCGGAGGAGCCTGGAGCACCTTTGTACACGTCCCCTCCACCTCCCAGGGCCATGGGGATTACACAATGGTTCCCAACTACACCGCCAGAGCCTTTTCCTCTGCACAAAGGGAGAGGGGACAGCACCACACCCACCTGGCCTCCCAACCTGTGGGCCAGTGCCCATGGATGCCTACTGACTTCCAAAAACCACCCAGCACACCCAGCCTATGCAGAGGTCACTTCTAATCAGGCCACTTTTCATGACTGGGAGAGAGCTGTTTTCTTTCTTTCTTTTTTTTTTTTTAATAATATTTTATTGATTTTTTACAGAGAGGAAGAGAGAGGGATAGAGAGTTAGAAACATAGATGAGAGAGAATCATCGATCAGCCGCCTCCTGCACACCCCCTACTGGGGGATGTGCCCAACCAAGGTACATGGCCTTGACTGGAATTGAACCCAGGACCCTTCAGTCCGCAGGCCGACACTCTATCCACTGAGCCAAACCGGTTTTGGAGAGAGCTGTTTTCTTTAATTAATATAAACAATTATAGAAAGTCAACAAAATGAAAAGACAGAATGTTTCTTAAATGAGGAAACACGAAAAATCTGCCAAAACCAGTTTGGCTCAGTGGTAGAGCGTCGGTCAGCGGACTGAAAGGTCCCAGGTTCGATTCCGGTCAAGGGCATGTACCTTGGTTGCGGGCACATCCCCGGTAGGGAGTGGGCAAGAGGCAGCTGGTCAATGTTTCTCTCTCATCGACATTTCTAGCTCTCTATCTCTCTCCCTTCTTCTCTGTAAAAAAATCAATAAAATATACTTTAAAAAAATAAAAAGAAAAATCTTCAGGGAAAAAAGAAACCCTAAGAAAACAGAGATAGCCGAATTCCTCTCTGTAAAAAAAAAAACAACACACACACAATAAAAATATATTAAAAAAAAAGAAAGAAAACAGAGATAGCCGAAACTGGTTTGGCTCGGTGGATAGAGTGTTGGCCTGTGGACTGAAGGGTTTGATTCCAGTCAAGGGCATGTACCTTAGTTGTGGGCTCATCCCCAGTAGGGGGTGTGCAGGAGGCAGCTGGTCGATGTTTCTCTTTCATCAATGTTTCTAGCTCTCTCTCTCTCTTCCTCTCTGTAAAAAAAATCAATAAACTATATTTTTTAAAAAAGAAAACAGAGATAAGTAATTTGATTAAATATTTAAAGAAATGGTGATGCTCTAGCCAGTGCTGCTCAGTAGTCAGAATGTCAGCCCACACATCAAAGGGTCATGGGTTCGATTCCCAGTCAAGGACATGTACCTAGGTTTCAAGTTTCTCTCTGGACCCAGTAGGGGGATGTGCAAAAGAATGAACCCCAAAACAATGAACAAAATGGCAATAAGTAAACACTTCTCAATAATTACATTAAATGGTCCAATAAAAAGACATAGGTTGGCAGAATGGACTCATCTATATGCTGCTTATAAGAGACTCACCTCAAATTGAAAGACACATAGGGACTCAAAGTGAAGGGATGGGGGAAAAAATATTCCATGCAAATAGAAACAAAAAGAAAGCTGGATACTCATATCAGACAAAATAGACTTTAAAACAAAAAAAAAGGACAATACATAGTTATAAAGGGGTCAATCCAAGAGGATATAATAATGGTGAATACCTATGCACCCAACATAGGGCCACAAAACAAAAAAAGTAAGCTGATGCAAAATGAGAGTTCAGTTTTCCCTCTCCACGCTAAAAGTCTCCGGTACTACTGGTCTGATTCTTTTAAGATTTATGTGAAAAGTTTTCTGCCAAAATGCAAAAATTCTACGATTTATCAAAATAATTTACTGTATTTTATGCTGTCTTACTCAGGTCCTCCATTACTTAAGAAATCTGAATCTTAATAGTAAGAGCTGTTTTACTAGCAATTAGACTTATTTGGGAAGTACTATCAAATACATAATAATATTAAACTTTGTGTTATATTTGTATAAGTGTAATTTAGAAGTATTCCAGAAAGTGTGTGAAATTCCCGGAATCTGAGATGTCCTGGCATAGGATGTCTATCATCAAAATTGAGGCACACACTAACTCGAGTATGAGCATGTGGCGCATGTGGATAAAGTCCATTATGCTTCAACAAAAACAGCCCCTCCCCTGGCCAGCTGCTCAGTCAGAGGTTAGAGCATAGTTCTGTTCACTGAAGGGTCACGGGTTGGATTCCCAGTCAGGGCACATACCCAGGCTGCAGGTTCGATCTCTGGTTAGGGTGCATATGGGAGGCAGCTGATGAATGTTTACTTCTCACATCAATGTGTTTCTCTCTATTTCTCTCTCTCTCTCTCTCTCTCTCTCTCTCTCTCTCTCTCTCTCTCTCTCTCTCTTGCCCTCTCCCTTCCTCTCTCTAGAATCAATGAAAAAAGCATGTCTTTGGTTGACAATTTAAAAAAAAAGGACCCTCATTGCCAGGCTTTTGCCATCCTGATGTCCTGGTAACATGGCAGCAGTCTACTCCTGAACGAGAGAAACTAAGATGGGTACACAATGACTGTAAGTTGAACAAATAACCAGCTTCCCTGGAAAGCCCCATTTTTCCAAGTTTGCTTTCCTTCATGCATCACAGTGCATTTATGCTGGTCTTTAATTGTCCTAGTGAAGGCTGATGCCCTCACAGTGACAAAGAGACTATTAGAAAATGTCTCCCACTTGGAGTATTCCTTCAAGTGCTCCTTCAAGACTATTGACCTAGCCCCACCTAGGAATGGTGGCTCGGGACAGTCACTGTTTTGCTTCCTGACCCCTGTGAAATGGATTCATTATGTTAGTGACATAACATTAACCTGTGAAAATTTGCCTCTGCTACAGAAAACCTTGTAGGCTTTACTGGATCATCTACAACAGAAAGGATAAGCAATGAATATGCAGAGAATTCAAGGTCTAGACACCACAGTAAAGTTTCTGTAAAAGCCTACCCACACCAAAAAAAAGGTAAAAGAGGTACAGGCTCTTATAGGAATTTGGGGTACGAGTGAACATTTATATCCCGTTTAGTGCAAAGCCTTCTCCTTGTTTATTTATTTATTTACTTTTAAATATATTTTATTGATTTTTTTACAGAGAGGAAGAAAGAGGGATAGAGAGCTAGAAACATTGACAGCTGCCTCCCGCACTGCCCCCCCCCCCGCCCCCCGCACCTGGGATGTGCCCACAACCAATGTACATGCCCTTGACCAGAATCGAACCCAGGACCTTTCAGTCCGCAGACTGACGCTCTAACCACTGAGCCAAACAGGTCTCGGCAGCCTTCTCCTAGTTTAGAAGGGGCATATATGGGACTGGGGAGCTGAACAAGAGTCCAGTCTACCTTTGAGAAAGCAAAAACACTGTTCCTCCAAATTGAAGTTCCTGGACTCTCCTAAGCAGGCCTGCTATTTGAGTTAGATGTCTCAGGACCCCAGAAGGTCTGGGTGGGGCTTGATAGCAAAAACAGCAAAGGGAACCCTGGCTGGTGCGGCTCAGTTGGTTGGGTGCTGTCCTATGCTCTGAAAAGTTGCTGATCGATTCCTGGTCAGGGCATATGCCCAAGTTGTGGGCTTGACCCTAGTAAAGGGTGTGCAGGAGGCAGCCAATTGCTGTTTTGCTCTCGCATTGATGTTTCTTCTCTATCTCCTTCTCCCTTCCTCTCTCAAAAAAAAAAAAAAAAGGCCCTACTTGGTTTGGCTCAGTGAATAGAGTGTCAGCCTGCAGATAGAAGGGTCTCAGTTTGATTCTGGTCAAGTACACAGTGCCCAAGTTTTGGGCTCAATCCCTAGTAGGGGGCGTGCAGAAGGCAGCCGATCAATGATTCTCTCTCATCATGGATGTTTCTTTCTCTCCCTCTTCCTTCCTCTATGATAGGAGTGTCGAACTCAATCAGAGAAGGGGCCAAAATCTAAAATCCAGCCTAAATCGCAGGCCGAATGGTTTACTGAACAGTCATAAACTGTCATTGTGATGGAAACGCAGCGCAGTGCAGTGATGATAGCGCGGTGCGGGCCACATTGCAAGGCCTGGCGGGACGGATTTGGCCCACGGGCCTTGTGTTTGACACATGTGCTCTATGAAATCAATAAAAATATATTTAAAAAAAACAAAACAAAACAAAACTAAAACGTTTTTGCACAGCAAAGGAAACCATCAACAAAAGAACAACCTACTGAATGGGAGAATATATTAGTCAATGACACATCCAATAAAGGGTTATATCCAAAATATATAGGGAACTCATACAACTTAACACCCCAAAACAAACAATCAAATTAAACATTTGGCAGAGGATCTGAATAGACTTTTCTCCAAAGAGAATACACAGACATGAAAAGATGCTCAGTGTCACTAATCATCAGGAAAATGCAAATTAACCACAATGAGCTCTCACCTCACACTTGACAGAACGGCTATCATCAATGTACCAACAAATACCAAGTGTTGGCAAGGATGTGGAGAGAAAAAGAACACTCTTGCACTGTTGGTGAGATTACAAATTGATGTAGCCACCATGAAAAACAGAATAAAAGTTCCTCAAAAAATAAAAATAGAACTGCCTTATGAACCAGCAATTCCACTTCTGGGTATTTATCTGAAGAAATCCAAAGACTACCAGTATATATGAGAAGACATATGCACCCCCATATTCATAGCTTAGATCTGGAAGCAACCTAAGTGTTCATCGAGAGACAACTGGATAAAAATGTGATACATATATACAATGAAGTATTACTTGGTCATAAAAAAAGTGAAATCTTATCATTTGTAACATGGATGCTAAGTGAAATAGTCAGACAGAGAAAAAAAAATACTGCATGACCTTACTTATATGTGGAATCTACAATAGAAAACAAGACAGAAAGAAACCCATAAATAGAGAACAAGCTGATATTTGCCAAAGGGGAAGATGGCAGTACAAAATAAAAAATAAAAAAGAGCCGAAGCCAGTTTGGCTCAGTGGTAGAGCGTCCGTCTGCGGACTGAAAGGTCCCAGGTTCGATTCCGGTCGGGGGCATGTACATTGGTTGCGGGCACATCCCCAGTGGGGGGTGTGCAGGTGGCAGCTGGTCGATGTTTCTCTCTCATTGAAGTTTCTAGCTCTCTATCTCTCTCCCTTCCTCTCTGTAAAAAAATCAATAAAATATATTTTAAAAATAAAATAAAATAAAATAAAAAAGATTATTTCCAATTGGATTGCACTGGTCTAAAGTAAGCATATCTATCGCACCTTCCAAAAACATTTAATATATATATTTTATTGATTTTTTACAGAGAGGAAGAGAGAGGGATAGAGAATTAGAAACATCGATGAGAAAGAATCATTCATCAGCTGCCTCTTGCACACCTCCTACTGGGGATGTGCTCGCAACCAAGGTACATGCCTTTGACCAGAATTGAACCTGGGACCCTTGAGTCTGCAGGCTGACACTCTATCCACTGAGCCAAACCAGTTTTGGCCAAAAAAAATTTTTAGTAGTATCATCACCCATGTGAAAACACATTTTAAAATATCGCATACCTAAAGATTTTTTTTAATTAAAAAAAAAAGATAAAGAATTCACACACATATACACACCTCACATACTCTCCCACCTCTTTCCTACACACATGTGGAGGAAGTCCTAGGTTCAGTGCCTCACTCCTCCCAAGACACTAGCAGAACGGTTCCCACTTACAGATGAGAAAACTAAGGCTCATAAAGAAGTGAGTGGCGCCGGCACCGGTTTGGCTCAATGGATAGAGCGTCGGCTTGGGGACTGAAGGGACCCGGGTTCGATTCCGGTCAAGGGCATGTACCTTGGTTGCGGGCATATCCCCAGTAGGGGGTGTGCAAGAGGCAGCTGATCGATGACTCTCTCTCATCGATGTTTCTAACTCTCTATCTCTCTCCCTTTCTCTCTGTACAAAATCAATAAAATATATTAAAAAAAAAAAAAAAAGAAGTGAGTGGCATGACAGCCAAGTTCATCCTACACAGGCCGGCCACCCAGAAACATTACTTAGGACGCCATGCAGCCCTGCAGTGTCATGGGCCCAGGCTAATCAAACACATCCTGCTGTAACAGTGCTCTTTGCTGGCAATTTTGGAAGGTTCATGGACTCATCTCAACTAACTCAAGGAACTGAGTACATCTCCCACAATGATGCAAGCAAACACCAGCTGGCTGTCACCTGGGGAGATGTCAGCTGCTCCTCCCAGGGACTCCTGGGCCTCACTTAGTACATCAGTCAAGCACATGGACGTCTCCACCATAGATGTTCTCACATGTTGGTGCATGTGTACACAAAACTGGCTCCTTTGTCCCCTCAGCATAACCGTTTTTCCTACAGTTCCACGAATTGAAGCTGCATGTGAAGAACATTCTCCTGAACAGCCAGAGTCAAAGAAGGAATCACAGGGTGACTGGAAAATACTCGAGATGAAGAAAAGGGAGAAACACAGAAGCCAGCTAACGCAGCACCCAGAGGGAAGTCCATAGTTACGAATGCCTGTATTCAAAAAGAGGAGTCTTAAGGCAATCACCTACACTTCACCTTAGGAAACAAAGAAAAGGAACAAACTATATCCAAAGCATGAAAGTCATTATCCTGGTGAGGTGTGCAGGGTATTCTAAACACCAAAAGTGTCCCTTGCCCTAGCCAGTGGACCAGAAGGAAATGCACAAAAACATGAGCAGGATTTCTTCCCTCATTTTGGTTATTTTCAAAACTTGAGGGCCACATGAGATTTATATCCATCAAGCCTACAAGATTTAGAGTAGTAACAAAGCACTTGAACTTTGGATCTAAAAGAGAAAAGCATAAGAATCTAAGTGCAGCCGAAGCCGGTTTGGCTCAATGGATAGAGTGTCGGTCTGCGGAATGAAGAGTCCCAGGTTCGATTCCGGTCAAGGGCATGTACACTGGTTGCAGGAGGCAGCTGATCGATGATTCTCTCTCATAGATGTTTCTAGCTCTCTATCCCTCTCTCTTCCTCTCTGTGGAAAAATCAAAAATATATAAAAATAAAAAAATCTAAGTGCAGCCACAGGCAAATTTCGCCCCCCAGCCTTTCCCTGGCCCACCTAGCCCCGCTCACCTTACGAGCCCAGCCAAGCAGAAGGGTGTTGTACATGGGCAGGGTGAGCGCCCGCTGCTGCCGGAGCTTGCTGTGATGCTTGACCAGCACGTGGTGGGCGAGGGGCAGCTGGTCCACCAGCAGGCAGCACTCCAAGAAGGACAGGAGCCTCTGCTGCTGGGCCTCGTACCGCACCTTGGAGATCCTACCCGTGTGACCATGCTCCTCACTGCGGCTCAGCTGCTTAGGGGCCTCCTGTAGCAGCTGAGCCAGCTGCTCCTCCCAGGGACTCCTGGGGGAGCCGTGTTCCCATCGCTGCAGCCAGTCTGCCAGCTCCCTATTCAGCAGTTGGGGCTCCACACGCAGCTGATGCTTGCGGTTCTCCTTCTGCAGGGTTTCCTCCAGCTTTTGCTTGCGCCTCTGCATCACCAGCTTCTCCTTGTGCAACTTCTGTGCCCAGTGGCTGGTGAACCCCAGGGCAGCACCCTCGTTTCCTGCCTCCACCTTTCTGGGTGACTGGGAGCCATCGGCCTTTGGGAGTCGAGCCACATCCACCAGCTTCGCCCTCACCTCTGAAACACTGTTGGTCTGCAGCTGCCGCACTCTGGCCTCAAGCACTGTGGGGAGGCAAAGGGCAAGGATGTCAGGGGAAACTGGTTCAAATCCTGATCTCTCCAAACACCCTGCCAGCCAGGAGATAGGAGGCAGCTGGTCTCACCTGCTCTTGAGGCCTCCCTTCTATGTACTGGTTGATAACTCCCCCATGTCCCTGGACTTCTAAGCATATGCACCCCACTCACCTACTTAGCACCTCTCCACCCAATCCCCTTAGCACTCACTTCCCATACAAGCTCCTGGTGTGCCCTCCGCGTCTATCACCACAGCTCTGTCTCCCAGGTGCTCAGCCCCAAACCCCAGGGATGTCCACATTGCCCTCCCTCCAAGTCCATTCTGTTAGCACATCTCCAGGGCTGTTCTCAAAATCTACCCAGGTGCCCCCATGGCCTTCCACTGCCCCTACCACTCACTCTGTCCAGCCATAATGGCCTCGGGGCCTTTGCACTTGCTGCTCTTGCTGACTCAAAGGTCCTTACCAAGGATTCCCAGCCCAGCCCTGCTCTGTAGGACCAGCAGCTCTGTTCTCTGCAGTTCTGTTCTCAGAGTTGCCAAGACACTGAACTAGCAAATACAGAGCCTCTGCTCCTGGGGAAACACAAGGTTCCTGAGAGCTTCCAATCACATTTCTGCCCGCTGATCAGCACATGTTTTATGTATGTTTCTGTTTAAGAGCCCTTACCTCACATATATTACTAATTCAGTAACATCAAGCTCACAGTAAACAGCACTATCACTCACACCTCAACAAAGTGAGCAAACATTTTCTCCAAAAGGCACAGCACTGCCTTCCTGCTCAGGATCAATGGACAGAACCCCAGCTTTACACCCGATGCCACTTAAACAGCAAAATCACCAACAAACAGCACAAAAATGTAAAAGCATGGCACCAAGTACACAATGAAAAGGCGTTCCCATGGCTGGTTTTTATAGGATGTACTGAAATACAGCAGAACGTCCTTGGTTCCACCTCAGTGGGGTACACGCACATCAGGAAACGGCAATGTTCACTGTTCTGCACGTCTTTACATGATCGTGAAAACTCCCCAAGAATTTGGGGTTGCAAATAAATTTTAACTGCCTTGCAAATATGCAATCAGTGGGTCAACTACATTTAGCTTCTGCTTGCACCTCTGATTAGAACATCAAGCCCCAGAGTAATGGGCCAGCCCACAAAAGGGGCTCTAAAAGGATTCATGGAGCTGAGACCGGTTTGGCTAATGGATAGAGCGTCGGCTTGGGGACTGAAGGGACCCGGGTTCGATTCCGGTCAAGGGCATGTACCTTGGTTGCGGGCATATCCCCAGTAGGGGGTGTGCAAGAGGCAGCTGATCGATGACTCTCTCTCATCGTTGTTTCTAGCTCTCTATCTCTCTCCCTTCCTCTCTGTACAAAATCAATAAAAATATATTTTAAAAAAATAAATAAATAAATAAAAAATAAAAGGATTCATGGAAATGAAAAGACAAGCATAAACTTGGCCCTCAGAGTGGCTGAAATTCAGGAGAATCAAACACACAGGAGATACTTGCAGGCTGGGACATGTCGAGAAAGAAATGAGGCTGATGTGAGAGGGACTGGGGACATCTAAGCTGAGCTGGAAGACTCAATCCCTCACTCCTGTGGGAGGCAACCAATCAATGTTTCTCTCTCCCCCACTTCCTCCATCCACTCTCTCTAAAAATCAATGGATGCTGCCCTAGCTGGTTTGACTCAATAGAGCATTGGCCTGCAGACTGAAGGGTCCCAGTTTCGATTCCAGTCAAAGGCTCAATCCCCAATAGGGGGTGTGTAGGAGGCACCTAATCAATGATTCTCTCTCATTATTGATGTTTTTATCTTTCTCTCCCTCTCCCTTCCTCTCTGAAGTCAATAAAAATATTTTTAAAAAATAAAAATAGCTGAGACCGGTTTGGCTCAATGGATAGAGTGTCAGCTTGGGGACTGAAGGGTCCCGGGTTCGATTCCGGTCAAGGGCATGTACCTTGGTTGCGGGCATATCCCCAGTAGGGGGTGTGCAAGAGGCAGCTGATCGATGACTCTCTCTCATCGATGTTTCTAACTATCTCTCTTCCTCTCTGTACAAAAAATAAATAATAAATAAATAAATAAATAAATAAAAATAACCCTAATCAGTTTGGTTCGGTTGATGGAGCATCGGCCTATTTAAAATAATTATAATAATAATAGTAATAATAAAAAGTAAATGTATTAAACAAAGATTGGATAATTTATTATAAACCTAAAGGGGGAAATTCAAACATTGTATTTTCGGTATTTTGTTCATTAATATATTATAAACATGAAGACTTGTGAAATTTTATTTTAATTGGTCATTTCCTTTATAAGGTCAAGTGTTCATTTTTGTTACTGCTGCCTTAGTTCTAATTGGTCTAGACTCCCTCTGCTATCATTTTTTGTCTGTCTTTTAAAACATTGAGTTTTTTGGGAAGGGGGGAGTGAGGGCAAAGAAATTTATATATGACTAAGATTGAAATGGATAACTAAGTCTGTTGCATTACTTGTCCTATCTAATAGAGAGGGGATATGCTAATTGACCGTTACAAAGATGACTGCACCCACAGCTGAGGCCAAGGAGCCTTAACGATCAATCAATAGGGACCTGAGGCTACCCTCTCCAACGCCATGGGACTTGACAGGACTTGACACTCGGCTGTGCCCCCTCCCACTCCCTCCCACTCGGCAGGGCAAATAGCAATATTAAATTATTTCCTCTAATTAATCCCCTTTTAATGTGCATGAATTTCATGCTCCGGGTCACTAGTATGTATATGTGTATAAACTCTCATCAGATCTTTAATCATGGTCAGTTAAAAATCTTCTGTCATCTAACTGGCGTGGCTCAGTGGTTGAGTTGAACCAGGAGATTGTGGTTCAATGCTTGGTCCCGGCACCTGCCTGGGTGGAGAAGCAGCCAATCAATGATTCTCTCATCATTGCTGTTTCAATCTCCCTCTCCCTTTCTCTCGGAAATAAAAATATATTAAAAAAAATATATATATATATATATTTTTTTGTCATTTATAGAAAGTTATTATTTTGCTCTGATCGGTAAAATGTTTCTAAAAATGTTTCTTCTTCAGAGAAATTTATGGAAGACTGACATTCTAAGATACAGATTTCTAATTAACTTTCAGATCACAACATTGAATACAATGAAGATTTAAAGAATTCTAAGAAAAACTGGATTCACAAAACTGCTAACAAAAAAATCAAGATCAATGCCAAAACCGGTTTGGCTCAGTGGACAGAGCATCGACCTGCAGACTGAAAGGTCCCGGGTTCGATTCTGATCAAGGGCATGTACATTGGTTGCGGGCACATCCCCGGTAGGGGGTGTGCAGGAGGCAGCTGATCGATGTTTCTCTCTCATTGATATATATATAAAATAAACCTTAGAGGAAATTGCTGGAACTACCGCTAAAACAATAGCCAATCAGGAAAAAAAAATCTTTAAGTTCCCTGTGTGAATTATATTATACAACAGAACTGCTCTTGACCATATCCTAGCTGAGCAAGGTGGGGCTTCCTCTGTTAGTACCTCCTGCTGTACTTGGATAAAACACCTCGGGTAAAATACAGAAAAAAGTAGATAAAATCCAGGCACAAGTCTGATTAAAAACAGTGCCCACTGACACCTCATGGTTCCGTAACATCTTCAGCTGACTTCTCTCAGGTATCACCACTGGTTCAGATCTAGTCTTCATATTGGACTTAGCATTTTGTTTGTATAGAAGCTTTTTAAAAAATATTTTTTATTTTAGAGGAAGGAAGAGGGGGAGACAGATAGAAACACGACTAGAGAGACTCATCGATTGGTTACCTCCTGCACACCCCTAGGGATCGAGCCCACAACCCAGGCATGTGCCCTGGCTGGGAATCATCATGGTGAGCCCTCAGGACCACCAGAGCAGAGAGGCAGGACCACATTAGTTACACCGTTTTACAGGCTGACATCCCTACTTGTGGGGGTCACTGTGAGAAACGAGGAAGGTGACCCCTAGCAGAGGGGACAATGAAGGGGCTTCAGGCCTCAAGCTTTAGGGCTCACCCTCCAACAGCTCCGCGTGGCCCCAGTCCCTCCGGCGGTCTTGTTCACAAGGGCTGGCAGACGAGCGCCTTCTGCAGCCCCGCAGGCCACCCAGGGTCCCTGCGGGAGAGAGGGGAAAGTTAAAGGGGGTCTGGCGCCGGGAGGAGTGGGGCTACTCACATGGACAGATATTGCAGGATCCAGGAGCAAAGAAGCCCTAAATTTTCAGTGGAAGCTCAGTAATCAGAGGTCTCAAATTGGGGGGGTGGGGAGGGGGGGAAATCAAAGTTAAAGGGGACCGCACGCGCTAAGAAAATTGCGGTGAGGGAACAGGATATAGAGTTCCTCCAACCAAAGGTACAGCAAATTCAAATGTCAAGAGCAAACAGGGGCTCAGAAGGCACCAAAAGAAACCAAGAGTCGAAGGTCAAAGTGTCCTGCCGACCCCTGTCAGAAGAGTGTGCCAAGGGCAAGTGAAAACGGGGTCGTGTTAATGGGTTCCCCAGAAGCTCAGAAGGCAAAGGTCGTGGGTTTGTAGCCAGATCCCAGGGCGGAAAAGCCAAAGGTCACGGCCGAATGTTAAGGGTTGGGAGTGACAGTGGCCGTGACGTCGCCCCTGAGACTCCCCCCGTGTTACCTTCCTCGGCCCGGAGGCCGGGGCGGCCCACCGGCCACAAGGCCCATCCGAGCCCAGCCGCGCCGCGGCCCCAGCGCAGCGCCGACATGCCGGCCGCACGAGGACTCAATTACCCTCCCGCTCTGCGGCTGCGCTGCCCGTGCCTGCCCGTGCCTGCCGGGAGTTGTAGTTCCATGGCCTACGGCGGCTGCGAAGGCACTCCTGGCCGCAAAAAGCACCCTCGGAACTACAACTCCCAGAAGCAGCGAGGCCCAGGAAACAGGCGCAGATACAGCTTTCTGATTGGCTCTTCCTCTGCCAAGAGAGGGTGATCAGAGTAGTTGTTTGGGCGACGCTGGGCGGTCTTTGGGAGGATGCAGAACCTGGATTGATTTTTTTTAATTTTTTTATTAAGATCGCATAATAATTAGGACAGCGTTCTACAATTTAGAAATTTATTTTTAAAAAGTATGTTTTTATTGATTTGAGATAGAGGAAATGAGAGGGAGAAAGAGAGAGAAACTATGAGAAGAGAAAAATCACTGATGGCTGCCTCCTGCACGCCCCCTACTGGAGATCCAGCCCCCAACCTACGGTAGGCATTTGCCCTGACCGAGAATAGAGTGGCGAGCTACTGGTTCATGGGTTGAAGCTCAACCATTGAGCAACACCAACCGGGCACAATTTAGATTTCTGTTTGAAATCTTCATTAATCCAATAACATCTTTGGGGCAAAAACTTTTATTATACCTAGTTTAGTGTGAAGGAAGCTGGGGTTCAGAGAGATAAATCAAGTTGTCCAAAGGTACAGTGAGAACGTTAATTAGGGAGACTGGAATGAAAGCCCAGATCTGTCTGTCCCCCGGACAGATGTGTTTGGGACACTTCCCTGGACATTATCCTCTTCCATTTCTCTGGCTTTGATTTACCCACTAGTCCCCAAACTCCAAGAACAGGAGCATAATGGGCAGAAAGAGTGGACTAACATACTAAATTGACATGAAAAATGCAAGGAAATAATCCCTGAAACCTGGAGCGTCCCAGCCCTGGCTTCCAGGCCAGAGCTTTAGAATCAGACCTGAGGTATCCCCACTGTTGACCAACCGAAGGTCACTGCTACCAATTCAATATCAGGAGTCCCCAACTTGGGGGATGACATAGGATAGACTTTATTCAGTAAAAACAGCTCTCCTGAGGGAATGGCTCAGGTAAACCAGATCAAACATTACAGCTAAGTAACAATCAGGGGAAAATGTAGCCAGGTGCTCTGCTGAAGCAGAGGTGAGGTGAGGCTGGCTTATATAGAGATAAATGTCCACCTCCCCCATCCCCAGTCTCACTGATTGGTCCACACCTATGCAAATGAGGGCTCCAAATTTGTTCAGTTTGATTGGTCTATATAGCACTGTCCTGATTGGTAGGCTGCATAGTTGGTCAATAAATATGCAAATACTAGGGGCCCAGTGCATGAACCCATGCACCTTGAAAGGGCCATGAGGCTGCAGTGGGCACAGGTGCAGGTCTTGGCCCATCCTCCATGCCTGGCCCCTCCCGCGATGACACTCCCCCCTCCCCCCCGTTCCCTCTCTGCCAGCAGCCCCGCTCCCACCGCTGTTGCTCCCACACACTGACAGCACCACCCTGCTTGCACCTACTGATAGCACAGGGCACCAAGCAATTGGGCCTCGCCAGGCTCCGGCAGTGAGTGCGAGCAGCAGCTCCGGCGCTAGTAACGTAACAGGTGCAAGCGGGAATGGCGCTGGCAGTAGGTGTGAGCACTGGGCGGGACTGCCGCATATGTTCCATGCCCTGCCGCCTGCTGCTGATGCCTGCCATGTTCTGCGTGCACCCCCAGGTGGTCAGCGCACATCATAGTGGCCGGTTGTTCGGTCTACTTGTATATAAGGTTTACATGTATATAGATTGGATGGGGCAGGTCTTCAGCCATTGGTCAAATTTCAATGCAGTGGCAGGAGAATAATACAGGAGGCTGGCAGCCTAGTCTGGCTTTTCCCTGATATGCAGCTTGGGTGAGAGTCCTCTGTAGACATTGGCTGCTAGACTCTGGTTATGAATTTGAGCCAAATTAACCACAAAGTCCTTGTTGGAGCGTCTATTCCTTTGGGGAATTAGCAGCACCTATCGTTCAGTTGGGAAAACTGAGGCCAGGGGAGGGGATCAGCTGCCAATGTGGAGGATGAGACTATCTGGGGTAATGATGTTCCAGGCAGAGGTCATAGCAAGTGTAAAGGCCCTTAGCTGGAACAAGCATGGATAGTTAGGGGAACTCAATCAGAGTGAAGTTGGAGAAAGGAAGCAAAAAGGACATTGGTGATCCTCAGGAGCCTGACCCCAGTGAGCCTAGGGGTCAGCTCAAGCTGCCACCAGTCCCCTTATGCTCCTACTTCCGTTGAGTCTCTGAGGTTCATTGTACTCGCCACTGGCTACAGGCATGTCCATGAGTTCTGTTTCCCCACTAGCTCAGAATGGAGGTTTAATCTGTGCTCTGGAAGGGCCAGACTCCTGGGCCTGGAGGCCTCTTGACAGCACATTCCAGATGCAACTGCCCACATGGGCAAGTGTGCTGTGAGGCACAGTGATGTCACTGCTGGAAATATCTTCAACAGATGGCAGCATCCTCCCAATCCTATCCCAGTGCCCTCCAAGAAGCCCTGAGGGGCACTGACTTCATACATGACTCAAACTGGTTGCCTTTCTGGTTCAGGGGTGGTGGTGACTGAATCAGCTGGTTCTGGTACCCTAAGACCTAAAGACACCCCCTTGTACTCCAAAAGTCTGACAGAGCCAGGAACCTGGGCTGGAAACCAAGACTTCTGAATTCTTTCATCTTTCCTTATGCCTCAGGTTTTCTTCTATTCTGTGGGACAACAGATGCCCTAAACCAGTATTTCCCCAAGATGTGGATTCCACTGGGAAAAAAAGGACACATATATACTACTATTTGTAATACTTCAAACAATAAAAAATAAATAAATGAAAGAAAAAAAGAAAAAAGACCTGGATTCCTGGATCTTAGCCTCAAGAAAACTACTCTTCTTTCAGTCCCACTAAAACATGGGAAGTCTCACTTGGTGTCCACCTATATTTAACTCCTTTCTCAGCTCCCTGGCTGTGATCTTTTTGATCTGAAACTTCTTCTTGTATTTCTATTTAATGTCAATGTGTCAATATATGGCACTAGCTTCCACTCCCAATGGTGTTAACAAGTTAGTTTCCTTGTAAACTTTAGCAAACAAAACATTAATAAGACATAAGGTATGTGGAAATAAATGTAATTAAATGGGGAATATTGGCCCTGACCAGTTTGGCTCAGTGGATAGAGTGTTGGCCTGTGGACTGAAGAGTCCCAGGTTCGATTCTAGTCAAGGGCATGTACCTTGGTTGCGGGCGCATCTCCAGTAGGGGGTGTGCAGGAGGCAGCTGATGGATATTTCTCTCTCATCGATGTTTCTAACTCGGTCCCTCTCCAATCAATAAAACATATTTTTAAAAATAGGGGGGCGGATATAGTATCAAGAGCTTAGAATTTGTCCCTAACCAGTTTGGCTCAGTGGATAGAGTGTTGCCTTTGGACTGAAGGGGTCCCAGGTTCGATTCCGGTAGAGGGCACGTGCCCTGGTTTCCAGGTTTGATCCCCAGTGTTTGGTATGCAGGAGGCAGCCGATCAATGATTCTTTCTCATCATTGATGTTTCTGTCTGTCTCTCTCCCTTCCTCTCTGAAATCAATTAAAAAATGTTCTTAAAATTTTTTTAAAAATAATGTGAATATATCTTTGGGAGCTGTTGTTCAGCCAATCCCAGAGACTAGAGAAATGAATGTACTTCATGGTTTGGGTACAGAAAAAAAGCTATTCAAGGACACTATGGGAACACTAGGGGGCATTTGAGCATGGATGGTGAGTTAGATTGCAGTGTGGTTATGACAAAGGACTGAGCCTTTAGGAGACACATCTAATGTGCTTACAGAGGAAGTGGCACCATTCCTGGGGCTCACTGTCCATTATCCACTTATGTAAAATATTACATATGTGCATTTTTTAAATTTATTTTTTGTTGATTTTTTACTGAGAGGAAGGGAGAGGGATAGAAAGTTAAAAACATTGATGAGAGAGAAACATCAATCAGCTGACTTCTGCACACCTCCTACTGGGGATGTGCCTACAATTAAGGTACATGCCCTTGACCGGAATCGAATCTGGGACCCTTCAGTCCACAGGCGGACACTCTATCCACTGAGCCAAACCGGTTAGGGCTACATGTGTGCATTTTTTGAGGTGTAATGTAAGCAGTGCATACATCAAGAATACAGTTCAGTTAACTCTCACCATAGGTGTTCCAAAGAACACCCAGCTGCCCAAATCCCCTCACGCCCCTCCCTGTCACTGCCCTTGCGGTGACACACCCCTATCCTTATGCCTCACACCATATATTGATTTTCCTGTTTTAGAATGTCACAGAAATGGACCTCTTCTGTGCCCGGCTGCTTCTTCTTAATATGGTGTCTGAGGTTCATCATGTTGTGTGTTTCAGGAGGTTATTCTTTTTCAAGGCGGCATTGTACTCTCTTGGGTGCATTTGCTACATTAACCCATTTTACTGCTGATGGAGAGCAAAAAAGAAGATGTTTAACTGGGGACTCCAGGAACAGAGCATGCATTGTGCTTTACCCACTAAGGCGGCTTTAATCAAAATGACAGACAATCACAAGTGCTGGTGAGAATATGAAGTAACTGACACCCTCACGCACTGTGGACGGGAGGGAATGTAAAATGGTGCAGGTGCCGTGGAAAATAGGCTGGGGTGGGGGGAAGAAAAAAAGAAGGGGAAAAAAAAGAAAATAGGCTGGAAGCTCTTCAAAAGGCTAATCATAGAATAACTATATGGCCCAGGAATTCTACTCCGAGGTACACACGTGAGAGATATAAAAACATATGTTCACACCAATGCCTGTACACACATGTCCACAGCAGCAATGATATGTAGCAGCCAAAAGGTAGGCACAAGCACGTGCCCATCGATAGGGAAATAGATAAACACAGTGTGGCCCATCCACACACTGAAATATCACTTACTCAGAGGTGAAAAGGAATGAGGCACTGACACATGCGATAATGTGGATGGACCTTAGAAACGCAAGACTTAGCGG